ACACGAACTGAAAATTATGTCAAGGATCATATTATTATGTAACATTGACATTATGCAAAACAGAGGTGTAGTGAGTATTTTAGGGCCCGATAAAATGCTGAATATCAACAGATATGGATAACAGAGTTGTAATTATATTAATTAATATATATTATAGAGTACGAATGGTAATTTATGATGAATTCATAAGGAGGAAACTTTATTTATTAAACTAAAGGGTATTAGATCTATCGTATTGATAAACATTGTCCTCTCACTCATAGACACTTTAGTGAAGAGCAAGAATGTTCCATAAATAAATTCCTTTTATAATTTCTCCTACAAAAAAGCAGTTATGGAGTTCTCAAACCACTTTACTAACATGTCCATCGATTTATTTGGTTAACAGACGTTGAAGAAGTCTCTAGATACTCAAAAACAACGATTATGAGCTAATTGGAGTGACCTAGGATTATCTAACCCAAGAACTTGATGAAAAGTAGAAAACGATGCACAGGAGCATTGTCAAAAGGGTCTAAGCTTATATCTGCACTATTATTGGTTTAAATCGAATGGAATAAAACGTATTCAACTTGAACCATCATTTAGATGTCATTAACAATAAGAAAATGTAGGTAGCAGCATTTTCAAAAGGGTTTATGCTTATCGAATCAAACGATTCAAAAGAGGAATACGTCATTTAACGTGAACTATCATTAATAATAAAAAAACATGCGCAAAAGTATTGTCAAAAGGACCTATACTTACGGCCAATTTCATAATCAATTTAAAGGACACTTTAATTTTAAAGTTTCTTTTAACCATATAGTTTAAATAGCTTAAAGTCTCCTTTCATTAAAGGCCACTTTAGCTATCGATTATGAAATTGGCCGTTATATCTTCGTTATTACTAGACCGTTATTACTGGAAACGTAAAACATCAAAAAACATATTAATAATACCAAAAGGGCAATAATGTACATAGCTGTTATTTGTTCGCTTCAAACGAGACAAACGACATTCAATATAAACTATCATTTAGGTGTCATTTACAATAAAAATATATATAAAAGCATCGCCAAAAGGGCATTCATGTATATCTTCGTTAATATTGGTCCGAAGCGAATGGAACAAACGGCATTCAATGTAAAACTTAATGAAAAATATAGTTTTAACGAGTTGTCCTGGTCGAAACATGAATACCTACTTCACTGAGTAAATGTGAACATGGTATGTGAGAATTGACGATATTATATTGCATTGTAAGGTCTCTATGGATGCATCTGATTCTAGATTTGCATAATCAATATTTTAGCCCAAGAACTTATGAGTATGTTGAACTCTTTTTAGTTTATTTATGTAGTACTAGTAAAATACTGCATAGTCTACATGAGTTTTGATTAATGAACAGTACAATAATAATTTAAGTGTATTTATATGAGTGGAGTCATGGGTGGTCTGTTTTAAAAAAACACTCATTTGCAGGAATTTAATAATATAGATCAAACGTAATATTATTTTGTATATTTAAGTTAATATCTACCATTTATATTATCTTAAAAGTTAGTCATATCACGAGATCGATGAAAAGATTGTGACGATTTAATTCCATGCCAATAGTCATACACACTAGTCGATTTGGTTTTAAAGATCGAATTGCTATAATCAAGATCAGATGTTTACTTTATAAAATAATTAAAATCATTTGTAAATAATTTTTCTTTAAAAACACTCTAAAAGGGGCGTTTATTAATATTATAATCTGATTAAGAGTTGATCAATGAGTAATTTTGTTATAACCCAATTTAATTAGGGTTGTAATCTTAAAAAACTAAAGTTCTACTCGCTAGTATCCTTAGGGTCTAATAATTTAATTACACGAAACTAACGTGTAACACTAAACCGCAGTCTGATCAACAGTGTCCATCTGAAGGTTTAGATAAAGGTTGCTGTTTCTAATGTACTAAGGAGCATTGACAATGTTCCTCAATACTTTGTTCTGGAATCTCTGGATTATTTGAATATTACTGTAGCTGGCACAATCCCAGAGCTGAATGCGATAGGTCCAAATTGGTTTAAGAACTTTCAGCGAAGTCTTGCATCTAATGTAATACCTAGATATTTTGCAAAGTTAGCATAAGGGACCTCAGCATTATTTATGTTAATTGGTATTCTTTGGCCATTTTTGTTAGTAAAATTTCGTTTAGTTTAATACGCCATCTCTTGGTCCAATTATTTATTTGATTAACAGATGTTTGTAGTTTATTTGTAGCCTCTTCATGAACTTTGCCTATCGCTAGGATGCCAGTATCATCTGCAAATATAGCTATTGTGTCTTGTTCTAGTTGGGGTATATCACAAGTGTTTAACAGATAAAAAGTGGGTCCCAGGACGCTTCCCTGTGGTACTCCTGCTTTAATTTCTTTCAATTCAAAGTATCTTGTTTTACTCTAAAGAATCTATCTGAAATGTATAAATACAATAGATCTAAGTATAGCTGCGGAAGTAGCACATTCAGTTTATGTTTTAAGCCATCATGTCATACTTTATCAAAAGCCTGCGCAACATCAAGGAAGATGGCTGAACAGCCTTCTTTATTTTCTAATGCTTTTTTAATTGCATTTAGGATTCTATGAACCTGATCTATAGTTAAACGGTTTTCTCTAAAGCCGAACTGGTAATCTGGAATAAGTTTCCTTTATTCAATGATTTGTTTCAGTCTTTTTATTAGTATTTTTTCTAATAGTTTCGATAAAATAGGCAATAGAAATATTGGCTTATGTTCGGAGGTTTTTCTGGTTTGAGATCATAATGACTTCAGCTACTTTCTACAATCTAGAGACATACCTTAGTTTGAATGAGGGATTAAACAGATCTGTAAGTTTAATTATGGCTTTCTTCGGAAGTTGTTTTAAGATTTCTCCTGTATTAAATCAAAGCCTTAGGATTAATATTTGTTTTTATATCTTATGCAATTTTCTTTGGAGAGGTTGGTCTGATAATTGGGTCATCTTTCTCTAGAGGAGCCCAGTTTGGTAATTCTTCTCCTTCATTTGGTTAAAAGGTATTTTGTGAGTGCTCTGCAAATCTATTAACTTTTTGTATATTATTTCTACCCCAGCTATCATCTGTATTCCTGATTGGAGCATTCTGCACAGTGGGCCTTTTTATTCGCTTTGTGGCTTTCCATAAAGAATAATCAGTGGATTTATCGTTTGTCAACTCACTAAGGTACTCACAAATAGATTCATTTTTGATTCGTTTTATCTCTCTTTTTAACTGCTGGGTGGCGTTGTTGAGCTCTGGTCTGATGCCACGTCCTCCTTAGTTTTCTTTTTGCAGAGATTAGGTCCCTTATTTCTTTAGGATAGTTATTTCCTGTAAATAAAATAAATGTATTATATAAGAATATGTTAAAAAACAATGATCTCAGTTGCGAGCCTTGCAGGACGCCAGACGATACTATTACGTCGTAATATGATTTATAGTAAGAACGGCATATAATTAAGTCAAGAAGTTTACCATCAATACTAAGAATTTTAAGTTTATAGATTAATGCATTGTGGCTAACACTATCAAATGCCTTAGAGAAGTTCGTATATAAACATAATGTACTTCACACGTATACTCCAACGCTTCCAATATATGATCACTGTAGATTATCAAATTTAATTAAATACAAATAAAAATTATTCCAAAATCAAATATTGGCCAAGACAAACAATAAATGAAAATAAGAAATTCTCTAAGCCATGTGTTAACATAAAAACACAAAGCATCTTTTTTCCTTTTGAAAACAACTACTACTTTGGCTAATACTGCAACAGGCATTGAATTATTACTAAGTGCAGATAGCGTTACTTTCTGATTTAAATTAATATATTGAGTGAATTTAATGCATATTTTTTTTTTTTTTTAATTTAATGCCTATTGCGATATTAGCCAAAGAAATAGTTTTTTTTCTGAAAGGAAATACCCGCTTGTATTACTATATTGCAAACGGTTTAGAGAATTTCTTGTTTTATTCTAAATTGAATTCAGTTGATTAGTAAAAAATTATTCCTTGTATATTTCGAATTATTTTTCTCGATTGTATTTATAGCAACAAAACATGTTTTTTACTCTAAGAATCCAATCCTGTAAAAAAAGGATAAACCTTGCCCTAATATCCTTTCATTATTATCAATAGTTTTCTAATTTAGAACAGAATATTAATATATCAAGGTTATTCTTAACAAAATCATTGTTTATTTAGTGTCTCCCTTCAAACGTTGTAAAATACAGAAATACTTGAACTTGATGTAACCGATTAGGAAAATCTATAATTTATGTTTTTGTAGAATGAGCTAAAAATAACTTGTTCATTTTGATAAATGTAAAAAGTGTTTATTTTCAAAACTGTAGATAAAACAAAAATAACAATTACTAGTGTTTTTATGTATTCTATATTAGTTTTTGTTTGAATATGTACTCTATGACACAAGAAGTGCAGATCTTATACCGCTTGTAAATATAATAAATTAGATGTAAATATTTATAACAAGTTTTTAAATCTAAATAGAGGAAAAAACATTAAAAATTTGTCTATTGAAAAATTTCGTAAATTGGCCAAAGAATTTTTCTGTTTCTACAGTTGTGAGGAATACTATAAATTTCGACTATAAAAGACCTTATTAAACGTATTTTTTTATAATTTATCTGTGTTTCAGTTGTACAATTTAACTTTCTTTATCTGTATAAATCTGTTATCTGTTTAATTTTTATCAATGTTGTCTTTATCGTTTTTATCTATTCAATTTTATTCTTGAACTATTTATATATGTATTGTAATTAAAATTAGGACCTGTATGTACAAACTGTATGAAAATTGGTCAATAAAAATCTATATCTATCTATCTATCTATAAAATTTATAAACTTTGCTTATTTGGTTTCTTACTTCATCGGCATTTTTATTAGTCGATATATTAATTTTGTATTGGAAACTATCTACCTATTAATTTGATAATTTCTTTGTTACAGACTTAATAGTGGTAGTAGCGTCAATTGTGGTACTCACATTGGGTTCCAATGGACAAGTTTTTGCAACCTCAGCGATTCGAGGAATTCGATTTTTGCAAATTCTTCGGATGTTACACGTAGATCGACAAGGAGGCACGTGGAGGCTTTTAGGATCCGTCGTTTTTATCCACCGACAGGTATTTATTTTTTCTATGTACTACACATGTAGGTACTAAAAGTGCAATAAATAAACAATTTCTATACTTATACAAAATAACTTATGTTACAATCGTTAGTCGCGCATGGACCTATTAGCCCCATTCTGTATAATTTTTAGGGTTTTTTTTTAACGTTGTTGTTACATTGTAGCTCTATGCTAACTAAGAGGCATCTTTTATATTTTAGGCATCGCATTATTTATTATTGTAAAAATATTTTATCAAAAATGCATATTGAATCTGAATAAAAATAAAATAAAAAAATGTATATCGATTTTATAACTATCCAAATACAAATTATTGCAGGCATTATATTGAAGTTTTTTATCTGAATTCTTATTTTATAAAAGTAAAATCTATTGTTTCATCACTAAGCGAGAGAATTAAATTGATAAAATAATGTAATCACTTTTTTTGTTTCAGGAATTAATTACAACGCTTTACATTGGCTTCCTGGGTCTCATCTTCAGCAGCTACTTCGTCTACTTGGCCGAAAAGGACACAGTAGAAGAAGAAGGTGGCAAGAATACAGGGAGTTTCGCAAGTTATGCTGACGCTTTATGGTGGGGGGTCATAACGGTGACAACGATAGGTTACGGTGATACAGTTCCAAGAACGTGGATGGGCAAAATCGTCGCATCCTGTTTTAGCGTGTTCGCTATCTCTTTCTTTGCGCTTCCAGCTGTAAGTACATATAAAATACATTTTTTTCTAAAATACCATATTTATTATCTTGTGTTAAATGAATATTTCCGAACTAGTGACACAATAGTCCTCCAGTAATACTAAATTAAACAAAAAAAAAAATACAGTAAAATGAAATATTAACATTTAATTATTATAATTGATGATGTCATGTCACAGAATAAATATTTCGTGAAAAACGCATTATTGTTTAAAAATTGAATAATATATAAATTGATATATGAATCATAGCACCTTCATCACTAAAGAATTTCAGTTATTTCTCAGAAATGGAAATCAAAACCATCAAATAAGTTAAATATAGCATATTTGTAGTATATTAGGTGATGAAAATGTAACGTTACAACTTTATTTGCTTGTGTTTTTAATTGTGGAGAAATTAAAAAAGAAATAAACACTTTTAACGCGTTTTGTTAACGTAGCTTGCTCTGCAATTTTTTATGTAGCTTGCGAAGGAGTTGGGGCAGCTTCAGATGGAGATAATGGAAAAATTGCAAGGTTCTCGTTGTTTCCAGACTTAATAATGTATCAATATCGGGCATTAATTATTATTGACATGTCAAAAAATTCCCAGAAGTTGAAAGAATTAAATAGGGTGGATACACGGTCAAAAAACCGCAATTATATATTTATATAAATTTATATAAAAGTTTACATAATCCAAAACCCATTCCTTTAAAACTATAAACAAGAAAATGATTGGAGTTGAAAAGGAAGAAAAAAAATATGGCGGCATGAAAGGATCTCAATCAAATGGGAACATTAAAATGTATCAAAAAATAACTCAATAAATAGGTGCTAAATGTACCAGGTGAAAGAAGTTACCTATTGATGTCGTTAGGGCAAGTCTTAATGCTTGTAACAACTAATATTATACCCTAATTTGTTCAATAGTTAAGGATAATATAACGAGACCTTGATAAATAGTCGACTATTTTTTATTGGATCTCAATTTTGAGTGTTTTTGGTGAGTCATAATTTTGTCATTTATAATCTGAATAGAGTCCGAGGCTTTAGCCCTAGGACTTTTATTTTTTGATTAATAATAACAAAATTACGCCGAGAGAAATTGCAAAATAGTCATATTTAATGAGATTATTTCCGGAGCCATAGATGAAATTTAAATAAATACAATAATTTAACTTTTTAAAATTAATTTTAATTTCGGTTCATTTTGAAACGTTCTATGAGATATTAGCTTGTAATCTGTCAATTAATATTTAACAATAGCTGGTATTGAATATTACACCTATAATCAAGTATGCTAGTTACCGTCAACATTGGTGAATACCAAGCACCATGCATGATAGTCGATATGAGTTATACATCTTATATATATCTTATATTTTCTTATATTTATCAATGTTCATGTATCTCAATTTTTATTCATTAAACCAGTTAATTAATATTCCGAGCATTTGTGAAGCCTCACTGTTTCTACCCCTAAGGACTAGCGAAGTCTATAACTAGTTACCAAAGCTGCTCGACTATGCTATTAAGGGATAATTTTATTTTTTTATTTTATTTTTTTGCCACTGGTGAATGGATGTTCCTTTGGGACTCCAGGACCTTTCAGCTGGTGACAGTGCTAACTTAATCCCTTAATAGTATATTGACAACAGTAGCTAAAAACATCATTTTTTACAAATGGATCTCTAGACTAACTGATTTTTACATTTGTTGACAATAGTGGTCCTTTAGACCTTTTTCTCTCCTGGGCTCGTCTGACTATGTGTCTCCGAATAACACTGAAGCTTATTGGCTTATTGTGTTTTACCCCATGTTAGTTCATAGCACCCACTCTATCACCTTTGTACCTTGTACAAGTTTGTACAGATCCTTGGGTGAGTGGGTTCTACACGTTGTTAAATCAACCTGGGGTTGTCCAAAAAAAGCCTGTCTTTTGCGATATAGAGCTTCGCATTCGAACAGTATGTGTTTGGCCGTTTCTGGTTTCTTGTGACATAGTCGGCACATGAGCTCCCCATTGTACATGCCAATTTTGTTCAAGTGTCCCTTTACTGGGGCGTGCCCAGTCATGAACCCTGTTATCACTTTCAACTGGTTCCTATTCATTAAGAGTAGTTCTCCAGTTCTTTTGGGACATGGTCTGCCTATGAAGGCTTTTCCATGTGCCTGTTTTGGGGTGCTTCTCCAATAGTTGATATGTTGTTCCCGAATCCAGTCATTTATAAAACCCCGGACTGTACTTTTTGGTACTCCTGGGTTTGTGTCTGGTTCAGGTGTTTCTTCTGACCCTCTTTTTGCAAGTTCGTCAGCCTTTTCGTTGCCTTCGATCCCTTTGTGACCTGGCACCCAAAATAGTTTTATTTTATTTCGGTCTGCCAGTGTTCTTAGTTCTTCGATGCATTCCCATGCCAGCCTCGACGTAACTTTCTGACTCGATATGGCCTTAAGTGCCGCTTGGCTGTCTGACATTATTTGAATATGCTGATTTTCGACAGCTCTTTCATTGTTCTTTTTTGCACATTGCAAAATTGCGTATACCTCGGCCTGAAATACCGAGGAATGTATTCCTTTAGCATAGCTAAGGTTAGTTCCAGGGTTTTTGGAGAATACTCCTGCCCCAGTGCCTTCCGCAGTCTCAGACCCGTCTGTATACCAGGTTTGTTCCTGTCGTTGGGCATTGGGCTCCCTTATGGTGATCTCCGCTATTTCCTGTATTAAAACTTCAAAGGGAGTATTGGTTAAGTGGTCTGATCTCATGTCTAGCACGTCTCCTGTCACTAACCTTGAGATACTCATGTGACCTGGCCTAATGTCAAGATTTCCCAGTGTATTCCCTAATCTGTAAGCACCTAATCTTGCCTCCCCTTGTATCACATAGTGAAGAGGTGGGAGTCCTATTAGTGCTTCCAATGCAGCAGTGGGGGTTGTTTTCATTGCCCCCGTTATTCCGAGGCAGGCAAGTCTTTTACCTTGCTAAGCCTCGTTATTGCTTTCCTTTGCTGTGTCTTTGGCCAACACACCAAAGCTGCGTATGTTATTATGTGTCTTACCACTATGTTATAAATCCAATATACCATGTCTGGTTTTAACCCCCATTTTTTTTCCAAAGGATCGCCTTGCCATCATTAATGAGGTTTCCGCTCTCCTTGTGGTTCTTTCTAGATGCTGGTTCCAGGTAAGTCTCGAGTCAATCATAACCCCGAGATATTTTACCTCCCCCTTAAGCTGGATGCTTGCACCTCTTAGGTTTAGAGGCCCTAGTCTCTCCAATTTCCTCCTGCGGGTGAATGCAATTATGTCAGATTTGTTTGGGCTAATGTTTAGTCCTTCCGCCTCTGTCCATTTTGTTACTCTATTTAGAACCTCTTGCATTCGATCTCTTACTATAGTGTTGTATTTTCCCTGTGCCATGATCACTAGATCATCGGCATATCCCAGGGTTCTATGTCCCTTATCTTTGAGAGCCCTAAGCAGCCCGTCCACTACAAGGTTCCACAGGAGTGGAGACAGCACTCCACCCTGTGGACATCCTCTCGCTACCCGTGCCGCTGTTATCTCTCCCATAAGGGTTGTGTGTATAGTTCTCTCCCTTAACATAGAGTCGATCCAGGACACGCATGTGTCCTCGATTCCTCTGTGTTTGAGAGATCTAATGATCGATTCAACGGAGGTATTGTCAAATGCACCCTCGATATCCAAGAATGCTCCCAGCATTACCTCCTTGTTTTCCAGTGTGTTCTCCACCCTGGTCCTTTAGACTACTTGCTTGTTACATTTTTTACAAATTCACAATTTTCAAAACATTTATATTATTAAATTTTACGTTGCTATTGTTTTTAATTTTTTTGTGATAAGTATTTCCGTGAAATTTATCCAATTTAAAATGCCAAATCAAAACCGAAGTTTAGCCTTTAAAAATAAATTAATCAGTGTTTTTTTCAAAGACCTGCGACAACGGCAAGTTAATATCATAAAATACGGCAGGATTTCTATTAAAGAGAATAGAATTAAACGGGTTATCTTTGTTATCAAAGTAATCAATGAAGTGGACGTAATTGAGTTTTAATCCACTATACTTCATTTTTAAACTGGGAATAGCGATTTGAATTTTCCGGTCTTAAACTAGCTTCTAATTGGTTGTTTGATAGACAAGTTCACAAAGACCAAAATTTCTAATAATAAAATTTATTTACCTTTAATTTAGCATATGGTGGGTCGATTACTTTGAAAACTTAAAATATCAGCTTACTTGTTCCTTTATAATTACTATATTAATCCATAATTAACCGAATTAGTTTTTTCAGAACAAACTAGGCAGTTGTATTGCTTTTTTTTCATACTTTTTTTTTGTTGTTTATTGTAGAGTAGTGTTGTCAGTAATTCTAGCTCATATATGGATCCCTGACCCTTGTTGAGGTTTGTCTAGATAATTTTACCAGACTTGTTACAAGATACTGACATCTTGCTTCTGATAATTCTTAATCTCGCTTCTTCCTTCAACAACCACCTGAATAAGAAAGTTTTTTTTTTGTTTAAATTACAAATTAGGGGAGAAGGGGGCAGGTCCGGGTATATCCATTGTTTTTTGACAAAGATTTGCAAAAATTATAGTAAGTGTAGCTATGGTTTCTTATTATTTTGCTGTCAAACCTAAATAAAAAACTAAATGATTTTGAAAAAAATTTTTTTATCATCTAAAAGTTCTATAATTTGGCCATCATTAGCTTTAAAATCTAAATCAATGGTCTCAATTATACATAGGTATACAATGTGTCCCAAAAAGTTTTATACAAATGGAAAAAAGTTCATTTTACATTTCACAAAAAAAATATTCTTCATGAAAATCTCTGCATGTTCTAAAACCTAAAATACAACCATCAAATATTAACAATAACAGTCTTATACTAGGTATGGTAAGTGGGTATGGAGTAAAGTATCTTTATTTTTGAAAATGTCAAAAAAAATTACATCGTAAATGGTGATCGGTTTACCAGGGTTTGACAGTATGA